GGACCACAAAATAAAAGTATGTGGTCTGTGTGGAACAGTCAAGAGGTGCGTTGAGTCACTGGAAGTGAGCTGTCTCGAAGGAGCAGGTCCAGAGTATAACCATAATTTATAAGTCATCAGTAGCTCTTGGTCATCTCGTTATGACACCTCATCTGCACTCAAGAAATCAGTTTACAGCTCTTAAACAGATCCACATGGTTTAAAACAGATTTGATCTGTAACAATTACAAAGTGTCTCTTTTGTTGCTTGGTTTGTTAAAAAGAGGGCTTGCAATCTATGTGGTTATAGAGTTTTAAGTTTAGTCTAAAATATAAACTAAGGCACAAGCCCTCCATCTATGATAGACAGGCTACTTGAATCAGGGGCAGATGGTTGTTCCTGAAGTGGTTAGACCATTTTGAGGTCTGTAATCCATTTAGTCAATTTATAGAATACATTATGTTATAAAAAATATGTAAATGAGCAACTTGTCACAAGCAACCAAACACTGCAGAAAAGCCTAAGCAGAGACTGAGCCCCTAATAACAGCACTAATTAGCAACACCCAATACTCACAAGCAACCAAGCACTGCAGAAAAGCCTAAGCATAGGTATTATCTCTGGAAGGCTGCCCACCCTCCCCTCCCCTGCACCCCCTGTACCATACTTGTAGATAATGCAGATCAGCTGATTTTCAAAACACACCAATCAAGTCACTAAACCTATCCTCACCTGAAATCCCTCTGTTAACATGGTTAAACACTCATAGGTATAGGTGTATATATATATATAATTATATTTGTGCATATGTATAATCTTAACTATATAACAAAACACATTTTATCTAAATAAAGTTCTCCCTTCTAATTTTCACATTCACACCAACTTCTCCCATTACTAAAATATCCCTATCCTTCTGCTCACCTGTCCTTGGCAACACCATCTTCATTACTTTCACTTTAATCCCCTCCCTATTCATCCCATGCACTCTACACATACCTTTTCAGCCTATCTCCTCCAACTCCTCCCAAATCCTTTATATACATAACCTCCTACAAAACTTTCAAATCCTACTCCCACCTTCACTTCCTTCCTATCATTACATAGTTACATAGCTGAAAAGAGATTGCGTCCATCAAGTTCAGCTTTCCTCACATATGTTTTTACTGTTGATCCAAAAGAAGGCAAAAAACCTAGTCTGAAGCGCTTCCAATTTTGCCACAAACTAGGAAAGAAATTCCTTCTTGACCCCAAAATAGCAGTCAGATATCTCCTTGGATCAAGCAGCTATTACCCCACTAATTAGAAATTATACCCCTGTATGTTATGTTTTTGCAAGTATTTATCCAATTGCAGTTTAAACATCTGTAATGACTCTGACAAAACCACCTCTTCAGGCAGAGAATTCCATATCCTTATTGCGCTTACTGTAAAAAAACCTTTTCTTTGCCTTAGATGAAATCTCCTTTCTTCCAGCCTAAATGTGTGACCTCGTGTCCTATGTATAGCCCTGTTTATGAATAGATTTCCAGATAATGGTTTGTATTAGCCCCGAATATATTTGTATAATGTTATCATATCCCCTCTCAGGTGCAGTTTTTCCAAACTAAACAGATTAATTTTTTTAACCTTTCTTCGTAACTAAAATGCTCCATTCCTTCTATCAATTTTGTAGCTCGTCTCTGCACTTTTTCTAGTGCCATGATATGATATCTTTCTTTAGAACAGGTGCCCAAAATGGCACAGCATATTCAAGGTGTGCTCTTACCAGCGATTTATAAAGTGCTAAAATTATATTTTCATCCTGAGAATGTATGCCCCTATTTATACATGACAAAACCTTACTGGCCTGAGCAACTGCAGATTGAAATTGCATATTGCTGCCTAATTTGTTGTCTATAACAATTCCCAAATCCTTCTCGTGTGTGGTTATCCCTAGTTCACTACCATTTAGGGTGTAAATTGATTGTGCATTCTTAACCCCGAAGTGCATAACTTTGCATTTCTCTATGTTAAATTTCATCTGCCATTTTAGTGCCCAGTCCCCCATCTATCCAAATCCCTCTGCAGCAAAGCAATATCCTGCGCACATTTTATTACTTTACAAAGTTTTATGTCATCTGCAAACACTGATACATGGCTTTCAATGCCTATTTCAAGATCATTTATAAATATGTTAAATAGAAGTGGTCCCAAAACCGAACCCTGAGGGACACCACTTACCACTTTTGTCGAGCCTGAAAATTTACCATTAATGACAACTCGTTGTACTCTATCTTTAAGCCAATGTTCTACCCAAGAACAAGAATATTCATCTAGACCAATTTCTTTTAGTTTGAAGACTAACCTATTGTGAGGAACCGTATCAAATGCCTTGGCAAAATCCAAGTAGATCACATCCACTGCAACAGCCTGATCTATACTTCTACTTACTTCTTCGTAGAATGCAATTAGGTTAGTTTGACATGACCTATGTTTCATAAAACCATGCTGATTATTGCTAATAAAGTTCTTTCCAATGAATTCCTGCATATTATCCCTTAATAGCCCTTCAAATATGTTCCTAGTTACAGAAGTTAAGCTCACAGATCTATAATTTCCAGGCAAGGATTTTGAACCCTTTTTAAATATAGGAACAACATCTGCCTTCCTCCAATCCTCCGGTACAATACCTGAAACAAAAGAATCTTGAAAAACTTCCCCACTTAGCTCCTTAAGTACTCGTGGGTGAATACCGTCAGGCCCCGGAGCTTTATTTACATTAATTTTGTTTAATAGCTGTAGCACCTTGTTTCGAGTTATCCAATCACAAGTTATCTGCAAGTTTTTTGCAGCAATCATTTGCATATCTCTTGACATAGGATCCTCATTAATATATACTGAAGAAAAATAGTTATTTAAAATTTCTGCTTTTTCCTGGTCTTCATTAGCTAATAAACCCAACTCTGTTTCCAGTGTACCTATGTGGCGAAACCGACCTCGCCACTGGGCATTGGAGAAGACTGATTGCCAGCCTCCTGCCATGTGACTATGGCCCCTGGGATGTATTGCCCTTTAAAGACATGATTTGGGCATAATGGATTTGTGTTGTGCTGCTGCTGGCCCTTTAGGAACCATCTGGGGACATACTGTGGAGTTACTGGGTGGCCACCATTTCCTGTATCAGAGGCACATGGTGAGAACAATGGATGAAGCACATGGTAAGAACAATGGATAGCGGCCATTTTAACTCACAGACACTGTTTGGACTTTTCTACACGGTGCCATCTCGCCGGTATTTGGTGCACAGAGACATCGTGCAGTGGTTTTGGACTATACAACAGGGGACACATTGTACAGTAATTGTTTTTCATTTAGCCTGTATATGTTCTGTGGAATCTGCATTAAACTGTATCTTCAAAAGTACTGAACAGATCTGGGTGAATTTTGGATATGTGGTTCACCCAGATTTTTATGGGGTTTTATGGGGTTGCATGTTTTGGGGTCCCTGTGATGTGTTTTATGATACTGTATACTGTATTTCTCTGCCTGTGATAATTAGATTAACCATTGTGTTCAGTAATCATATCACAGGCAGAGGGGAGGATTTTGTGTGGGAGTGTCTGTGTGTATTGTACAGATTGATTGGTTGTTCTGTAAAACCCTGTGGGCAGTACTAAATTTGTGGATTGGGAATAAAAGAGGCTGTATGTGCCAGTGCAGTCAGTTCTTGCTTAACACTCAAAGTGAAGTGTCGTCTCATTATTGGGGGAGGATTTATTGTATGCTGTTCCAGTTTGATTGCTAGGAGTGTAAACCTATTCGCATGGTTTTTCCTATTCGGCTGTAGACAACATTCAAATGCTTGAGAGCATTCATTTGCTTCTCTGGTTCGGTGGTTGTGGTGTCTGCTGCAGTGCTTGGAGTCCTCAGGAAGCGCTAGGAGCATTCTTCAACGGAGGTACCCAGTCGGGGTGCCAGGCGAACCATTACAACCTACACTTTCATTTTTGTTTTTTTAGGATTGATGTACTTGAAAGAATTTTTGGGGTTGGTTTGCATTTTTTGGCTATCAATTTCTCATTTTCTAGTCTAGCCACTTTAATTGCCTTTTTGCAAGCGTTATTGGCTTCCTTATACCTTAAATAGGATGCCTCTGATTTGTCTGATTTAAATGCTTTACATGCCCTTTTCTTATTTTGAATCTCTTGTTTTACTTCTCTACTAAGCCACATTGGTTTTAATTAGTTTCTTTTATATTTATTACCCAATGGTACATACTGAGAAATGTACCTTTCTAATATTTGTTTGAATAGTTTCCATTTATCCTCAGTGTTTTTATCACTAAGGAGTTTATGCCAGTCGATATGTTGTAGAGCTGCCCTAAACTTATTGAAATTGGATTTTTTAAAATTATATGTTTTAGTATACCCAACTTGCTTTAGTATACCCCCTTCTGCTCCTAGCAGCTGGGAATGTCTCTCCAAACCCCGGCCCCATCTCAGCAAACCCACCACGTTCTAACTCAAGGAACCACACCAATCTCATACGCATCTCATGTTACTCTTCCTCTAAATCCTCCAATACTGCCCTCTGGAATGCACGCTCATTTGCAATATTAAAAAATCCACTGCTGTCCACGACTTTTTCATCTCCCGTTCCCTAGATTTACTAGCCCTGGTGTGAGGTGTTAAGTAATACTCATTTAATGATGAAACTGCCACATATACTTATCAACAAAGTCACATGGGATTAAGAGAGTTATGAAGATTTATATAAGTAAGTGAACAACTGAAAATGATGAGGGAGAAAAGAAAAGAGCACTGTAAAGTTAAAATTAAGAAGTTACCAATGTTACATGCCTCTTTAAAAATTTGTCTTGGTTGCCCTCAGGCTCAGCGGTAAATCACATGTGGATGCCTAAACAATTGCGGGACAAACACAGGGAATTGTTACCACTTACCAAACATTTGATACAGACTTGGGACCACCTACACCATGCACATAGAACAGAGAGCAAGTTCTCACCTTGTGCTCCCATCACGGCTCTAACATCTGTATCACCATTGTTGTCCCTAGACAAATGGAGGGAACTTGGGGTAACCCGTATTATCGATATATGCCACCAGGGGGCTATACTACCCTTCCCAGAACTTCAAAAAACATATAAACTACCACCATCCTATATCTTCCCGTATCTCCAACTAAAAAGCTTAATTGCTAATATGGTAGCACCTCCAACATCACACATATACTCCACATACCATGACTTATTATCACTGTACGATAGGTGCCACAAATCACCGATCAGACCTAAGATGCTCTCACTGAGCTACACAGCTCTAAGAAATCAGACACCACACCCAGAGTTCAAATACCGATCGCAATGGGAAAAAGAATGCACAATATCCTTCACAGACAAGCAATGGACAGGATCGCTCCAATCCCTTAAAGGAATCACCACGTGTTATTCACATGTCGAAGCACATAAAAAACTACTCTACAGGTGGTACTACACACCTGACAAACTCCACAGAATTTATCCCCACACCTCGGCCGACTGTTGGAGATGTGAGACGGAACGAGGCACAATGACCCACATATGGTGGAACTGTCCGAATATTACACCCCTATGGACGGAAGTCCACAAGACATGGCAAGACTTAGGGATCAAACAACTACCACTCACACCCCAACTGGCTCTCTTTCTCCAGTTCCCCAGTTCAATACCTTACACGGACAAACACTTTACAGTGATAATGATCCTAGCAACCCGCAACCTCATAGCGTGCCACTGAAAAAAAACAGAATGCCCCACCACCACAATGCTACAACACAAAATTAGACAATACCTCCGATATGATTTGCTCACAGCTACCACTCACAAACAGGTTTCTACCACACTCCTTAACTGGCAAAGGTGGACAGACTGGGTAGCTCTTAAGGGGATCGCAGACAAGACCCCAAGTACTACTATAGATTGATACTATAGATTGATACCAATGATTACAGGCTATTGACAGTCAGAACACTCGAGGCTCGTCAATAGGTCCCCAATACAACACAAGGCAACAGAATAGGGCAAAATGTAATAAAAAAAAATATAATAAAAAATAGCACAAAAAGTAATCAGGAGACAAAAGCTGCGTTGTACAACAATGTAACTAACTGTATCCTTATACCTCTGCACCTCTGTAATCCGATGCCTCAGATCATGTATGTATATATGCTAATATAGAACATGTATGTATATATGCTTATTTAAGATGATCAAACAGACAACCTGACAGAAAAGTGTATTTGAATGTCCCCTCCTTCCCCTCTCTTCTTCCTTTCTGCACCCTACCCCGGAATTTTTTCAATAAAATACGAATTGGAAAAAAATTTTTGTCTGGGTTGGAAAGAAACCAAGTGTAAAAATGAACAATTTAGCCATGATAAGACAAGATGGAGGTTTGAGTTGTCCAGAAATCCATCAATGTTATAAGGCCAGCAGACTATTTCATATAATGTTATCACAGAATACATAGGCAGAAAAAGAAAAATGGTATTCAATAGAGAAAGGCAGCACAGGGGTAGATTTATCCTCTCTGTTCGGGATTTTAGATCTCAACAAAAACTTTATAGCCGAGGCAAGATCCAAACCACATAATTAGAATCTAGCAAGTTGGTGGGATATATTTGGAAAAGAAGTTGGATTAAATAGAATGGAATAATAGATGCATTACCAATCTCAGTGATTAACGATATGATAGATAATATTAAGATCAACTCTTGGAAGAGCAAGGGAATAAATAAAATCGTAGATATAACAGAGGATAAATAAAATCAAGCCCTTTAAACAAATAGGTGAGGAATTCTGTATCCCACCGAATGATATCTTTAACTACCTTAGATGATTAAGAATAGAGAGTGTAAAATAGACCAGATTGTTCAATTTATCTAATTTAAAAAACAGTTAAAATATGCTGTCTAATTCTGTTAAAGTCTTATATAAGTTAAGACATGATAAACTTTCTCGAGCAATTGAAAAGTGGGAAAAAGATCTTCATATACAAATAGATGAGGAAGTTTGGAAAAGTTCTTTTAATAAATGATATAAACACATCCACTGCTTAAATTTGACAGATTTACAGTTTAAACTTTCGAATAGATGGTACTTGACACCAAATCTTCTAAACAAAATATATCCAAATACATCCACTAGATGTTGACAGTGCAATATTGATAAGGGCACCTTATTACACATATGGGGGGGCGGGGCCGGGCCGCCGAGCCGAGCGGCAGCCATCCATGCTAGCTCCGGCTCTGGGCCACCTAAATACACCGCAATACTGCACCAAACGCTTACCCAGAGCCGGGGCAGAAACAAATAACCAGCAGGGAGCGGCACGAAAAAAAAAAAAAAAACTGCAGGGATACCTGGAAAGCCGACACCAAGCAGCCCGCACAGCCGGAGCACAATGGGGCCTACACGCGCATGACGACGGCGGGAGCCGCGAGACCAGATAGCTGAGGGAGAGAGGGGAGTCCGGACCCGGCCCCGCTCCCCCCCCCCTTGGGCCGGCGGGGGTAATCCCGGCCCATGAGTCGATCTCCGGGGACCAGAGGTAGGAGGCCCACACAAGGCGGAGCCCTTCCACACGTGGAGCCATCATGGCCGCGGAACACACGAGCCACTGGGAGCTACGCAGGGTCGCCAGGACCCACTGAGGCGACGGATCCCACAGACGGACCCCTCTGAGCGGCAGAAAGGTCGGCGGGGAGCCGGCCCTGGCCCCTGGATTTGGTGGTGGTCCAGGGAGGCCTACCCCCAACTCTGTGAGCCCTATGGCGCCGGGGTGGGTTGGGCCCCCGGCGGACCGGTGGCTGGGGGAGCAACCACCGGCGACATGCAAGAGGCCGGAAAAAGGCGCGGCCTACCGGGGCTGGAGTCCCAAGGGGGAACTGCAGGGGTTGGGGAGGTGCAGGGGACAGGAGCCCGGGGACTTCTCGGGGGGAGGGGGCCTGCTGGACTACCGATGTCCCTGAGTGCCCACAGCACTGTGGAACCCTACGCTGGCTGGCCGGAGCAAGCCAGGAGGGGAACAGAGGGGATTGGCTGCACCGGGGGAGCTGGAGAGAACCTGCAATAAACACCCAGCGTGGCATAAAGATGCATCCAGGGCATAAACCTGCAAGAGGCCACATAGAGGGAAGCCAGCTTAGAAGCCTCACAGGAGGCCATTAACCCCACGCTGGACATTTCTCCTCACCAGGCATTACAGCGCCATCTCCAGTGGAGAGACTCACATAATATCGTTTCTCAGATGCAGTTCAGTGTATCCCATGTTGATGACGTAATTATTTCTAATCTCAATACACTTGATCCATGACATGCTTACTTTGCAATTAGCTAGACACTGCTATACTGTTACAGATATGATGTAATGTTGATGACATAATTATTTCTACTATCAATACACTTGAATCCTGACATGCTTATTTTGCAATTGGCTAGACACTGCTAGGCCGTTACAGATAGGATGCATCATTGCCTCACGGTGCCTGACTAATATACCATTTCCACCACATATGTTTACCGCACCATACTTATTGGCGGTTATTTAAGCTTAAGGAAGCCCTTCATGTTGAACATGCACAGAGCTTAGCATCAGCATCTGTTCGCTCCTATATTCTCTCATCAGTTGATTCTAAACAAGTTAAGCATTATTGGTTTGTTTTTGCATATATCTATTTTTAATCCTGTTTAAAACTGAATGTGAGGTTCATGCCACAGTGCTCCAAAGGGCTGGTGTAGACCGTTATAATTAATAACACATACAAAATGAGCCTCATAACACCAGATATGACGTGGAGGAATATATGACCAGCACAAAGCGTACATATGCCTGCTGAATACTTCTGACATCCTACCTTTCACAAAGCTCAGGTTTGTTCCATTTAATTAACTGCTTGTCTATTCGAATATCTATGCCTCTGCGCAGGCAACCAAATGTTATTCCTAGGAATCCGCAATAAGCCTGCTCACACTTTAAATCAGCCTCTGCGCAGGCACACATGCAACTATGTTTTTATGCAACACTGAGCCTCTGCGCAGGCAACACTCTATTGAATTCTGCTTCTCACACTATGCATGCGTTTTTTACTGCAAAAACAATAAAAACCATTTAAAACACATATGGTGGTACTGCCAACCGATATATACTTATGGAAAGATATAATTACATTAATTAATATGACCGGAAATAAACGATGGATCCGTGAACAATTTTATTACATTTAAATGGGTCAAAAATGAAGATAAAGGATTCAATGTTAATTTTACATATCATTACAGCAGCCAAATTACTGATACCACGGAATTGGAAAAATGTACAAATCCCATCAAATCCCAGAAGTGATAGCACAAGTAATATGACAAGCAAAAATGGAAAGAGGCATTTGAGCTTAGAAAACCGCTACACGCAAATAGAATATTGGGATACTTGGATAGATAAATTAGAATTTTTAAAATAAAATTATCATAGAGAGTCTCTCATCCAGGTAAATGGAATGAAACAAGGAGGGGGACAGAGAGATGAATAGTATGTTATGTAATGAGGTGGAAATGGATTTCCACTGGAAATGGACCCCTGCCATCCATGTCCGGCAAAAGAAGCAATCAAATAAGGAAGGAATGGATGGGTCAAACGGGCGTATAATGAAATTGATGATGATGATAGTTCGGTCAAAGAGACGAAAGGGCTCTCTCTCTCCAAATAAAGATAGGCAAAATTTAGATATGAAAGAGAGACTAAAGCGGTTATTTTAGGGATAATCAGGATAGGGATGGGATAGGGGGCGGGAAGGAAGAAACAGGGGAATATATGATGAAAAAAAGGTTAAACCCATGAAGTTTTACTATAGTTAAGAAAAGAAGAAGCATTGTATTTGTTGCGGCTCCCGGCCCGCCACATGGCGCAGCCGTGTCCCACCGGCACGACCTCGCCGATATTGCGAGCTTACCTGCTCGCCGGCGAGCCGGGAACCGCTCCTCCGCGTCTTCTGGGCGTTGCGCCCGAATCAAAGATGGCCCTGACCATGTGGTCGCGCACACCACAAGCTCCACCCCTCAAGTTTATACGGACGTCTGCGTGACGTCACGACATCAACGCACACGCACGTTCTGGGGTCAGAGGTCACCCTCTGACCAATCAGAGCCCAGAGAGGGATATTTAAATCCCTAATTCACTCCAGTTCCTTGCCCTGTCGTGATTTCCTGTTCCTGGTTACCGAGAGTGCGTTTATCTTTGTGAATATTACTTCCTGGTATCTTGATCTTGGCTTTTCCCTGGTTATTCCGAATTCTGGTTCCCCTGACTTGACTTGTTTCAACAGTATCTGACTATTTCTGGCTTCCTTGACCTCCGCTTTCCCTTTGACCATTCTCTATCTCTAGTGTATTAGTCCGGCCATTCTAAGGTCCAGTTTACGCTCTGTCCTTTTATTTCCTTTCCTTTTTTATGTATATGTTTACCTAGTTTCTGCGTGTTGGACCACACTAGCAGCCGTGACAGTATTAATGATGATAGAGAGACCTCAAAGCTGCTTATTTTATGTAATAGTTTTAATAACTATACATTGGTAAGGTATCTATCTGAAAAGTCAAAAAAAAAAAAAAAGTTGAGGTGGAGTAGGGTTTCTCCTCTCACCTCATTGCGCCTTCAAACCTCTACCCCCCCCTTCCTTCTCTTTCCCATCATTTGAAATTCCTTCGATTCACCTTTTCAAACCCTTCTCTGCTAACATTGCCGTTATTTATCGCCCCCTGGCTCCCCTCTCCTTTTCCTTGATTACTTTGCTGCCTGGCTACCCTAGTTCCTCTCTTCTAATATTCCATTCCAAGAATTAGGTGACTTCAATATTCCCATTAATCCACCTTTAACCTCAGCAGCCTCTAAACTACTTTCAATTACCTCCTCCTCGGGCTATCACAGTGGGCTAATTCTCACATCCAAGTAGCTGGCAATACCCTCGACCTCATTTTCTCTTATGCATGTACAGTATCTAATATTTGCAACACTCCATTTCCTCTCTCTGATCACCACCTCTTATCGTTT